TTGTACTTGCTGGAAGAGCAGTGAAAAGTTCTTTTATTCTAGTGAGCTTTTTTTGCTTTATGCTGTTGCTGTTTGCAGGGTGAAAGTTAGTTGTCAGCACTTGCATTGGTAAATCTCTTTTTAAGGGCTGATTACCCTGGGCTGAAAGTTGGCAGGCAAGATCTCGGCCCTAGAGCATTGTTTGGGGTTTTGCATGTTTTTAAATAACAGATCTATGTGACTGATTTGATTGAGGGAACACATGCTGCTACTCAGACTATAGTAACTCTAGACAGTGAAACAGAGTGCAGGAAAGCACACTTTGAATATGAATGAGAAAATTAGAGATGTCTACAGTGAAAGCAGGAGGATTGGGGGCTACACTCCAGGGAGGTTTTTAGGGAGGTCAGCCAGAGCAGTAGGGGTTTTGTTTGCTGTGTAACAATCAGGGAGATAGATGCCTTTTCCAAACTATTTGCAAGGTTGTGGTGCATGTGGATGCAGAGTGTTTATAAATACCTTCAGACAGTAGCACATTAACTCTGCCCATAGTGAGATACCCAAACCTGCTCTAAATGCAGTGTAAAGGTTGGCTGGGTGTTGGCACCACACTGACACACACGTGTGGCTTCTGGATGAGAGCAGTCCCAGCTCTGCTTGGCTTGGCACCCAGGCAAGAGTCATCATGTGCTTTGTGTGCACTTATCTGTGCAGTCATTCTGTGGGCCATTGCTGGTTTGTATCTTCTGAAATTATGGAATTCTTATAACTAGATGGCTTTGAAAATACTTGACAGAGAAGAACCATGCTGTCAGCTTTAAAAAAACCAAAATGCTACAACTGCCAAAAAAACCTCACAAAAACCTCAGACAAAAAAGAAAATTAAAAATCAACTTCTTCCCCCCCCCCCCCCAACAAACCCCTTATCTTTCTATTTGTGAAGGTGGTTGTGGATGTTGCAGAGTGAAACCAGTAGGCTGAAATACCCGTGTTGCTTGACCAGATGATCTCAATCCCTCCTGAAAATATTCTTGTAACTCCTCAGGTTAACCACTCACCAGGTGTCCCCAGGGACAGATCTGAACAAGTGAAGGGTGACTAATGAGAAAAGGACTAATAAAGCACTCTTGCCCTTGCTGTTGCAATTACTAGTTTTGCAGATGGAGCAGTGTATTACAGTTTTGGGGAAAGCAAACATGGTTGAATATTGTGCTGTTTCTAAAGAAAAATGTTTTTCCTGTATTTTAAACTTCACTGTCTTGGCTATTTACAAACCAAATTTGGACTACTTTTGATAAGTCTCAATAAAATCTAGGCAGTTTCTCTTGGGATAGATAGTTGTAGACATAAGTACTTACATGTCTGTAGTAGAGTCAGGAACAGAGTTATTCTCAAGTTGCTGAACTTGACTTATTACTCCACGATGGCCAGATGTCAAGCCAGAAGGATATAATGGTTTACTATATGCATTTGCAGAAATTGAAATTAATGGGTGCTTCTAAATCAGTGAAACACTGGCCTAGCTTGCCCAGAGAGGTGGTGGATGCACCATGCCTGGAAGCATTCAAGGTCAGGTTGGACAGGACTCTGAGCAATCTGATCTAGTTGAACATGTCCCTGTTCTTGCAGAGGAGTTGGACTAAATGACCTTGAAAAGGCCCCTTTCAACTGAAAAAACTGCTCTGTGATTCTGTGATGAAAAAATTGTCATTTGATTGTGATAGCTCAGTGTTCTGCTGTAGGTACTGCTATCTCTATCCCAAAAGGGGTTGCCAACTTGCATTTTTCTCTTGAATGTCTCCTGCTTATTGCTGCAACATTTATTTATGCAAAGATACATTGAACTGCTGACTGGTAAACCCTATCTTTTAAAGTCATGGACAAGGTAACTCTTCAGTTGGATGATAATTTTTATTGCTCCATTAAAATGCTCCATTTAACTTGTCACTAATCCAGCTGATAAACTATTTGAAACAGTGAATACGTACCAGTGGTTTCTAGAATTGCCAGTTATTGATTGTGGTTTGTATAAATAAGCTTTTATATGAAGACATATATCAATACTAATGAAAAACATGCTAAAACATATCATATGGAGAGCTTTTAACATTCCATGGTTTTTATTGGTTTTCTCTTTCGTGAAGTATCACTGCCTTTTTCTACAGCCCTTGTATTCTCTGCCATGATAGTCATGGGAGTCTGCTGCCATGTGGGTTTTGTTCTCTAGGAGTCCAAAAGTGGCAGCTCTGCAGTAGGAAAGGTGGCATTAACTTTCCAGAACAGCCCTGCATGTGGAGTTGTTTTGAAGTATCTCACAACCACCGAGATTTTGCAGCTGAGCACTTGACATCCTGCAGACTTGTAGCAGTGGGGTGTATTAAATGAAGCAAAATTGCAGCAGAAGCTCCCTCCTTCTGTGTTTGGGATCTTTCTGTATGGCTTGCTCATTTGCAGAAAGGCAAAGGCTGATCATTGTTAAAATCACGGGATTTGGAAAGCAGGTTTTATCCTCTTCAAACAAATTACTTTATTGCTGTTGTTTGGAGTGCCATTTTGATACTTAGAGATCAAAATTCAACTTAAATATATGGGTTTGACATTGTAATTACTAAAAAGAATTTGTTTACAAGGTGAGTGGTATTAGGATGGTGTGTATCACAACAAATCTGTGTGTCTAATGAGAATATGATTATTAGTCTGAGTAAGCAAAGTTACCTATGGCTTCAATCTACACTTGGCCTGGGATAAGCATCTTGCATAATCTCATCTAAGGGACTTCTGAAAAGCAGGAGGATGATATGCTGCTCTAATTGCTGGTGGCTCACCCAAGGAATTTGGAGTTGCAGTGTGCACACTGCAGTGGTGTGATGTCAGGTTAGCTGACAACCTGTCTATCCTCCGCTGCAATTAATGATTTAGCTGGGTATGTTGTGCTTGATGGCCAGTCAGCAAATGCTTTAAAGGACATACATATATGTAGTGGAACTTTACTTTTTGTTTGATAGATTCATATGATTGCAGCTGTTTCCCTTCCCTTCCTTCATCCATAGACTGACAAAGTTCTGGTGTTAACACAGTGTACCAGAGGATGGAGGAGATTGCAGCATGGCTCTGGACAGGCTGATCCTAGAAGGGGATGGGAATATGTGAAATAAATAAGTGACAGAAGGATGTAAAGAGCTACCTTAACATGGATATGGGTATCCAAAATGCTGAGTAGATACCACCATTGCTGACTGAAACATGCTTGTCTTTCTCTAAAGTAGCCTTTAGCTTATGACTCTGGACTAAAGCTATGCCCAAGGGTAGTATGATCAGCAGTGGAGGTTACATACAGCATATGTGGAATGACTAAGGAGTCTTGGGCTCTTTTTAGAAAGAAAAATTAATCCAAAATTTGGAAAGGCTAAACACAATTTCTTTAAAAAACATGAACAGAAACAGAAGTGTTCTCCAAGAGGCTTAGACACTTCATGCAGTGCTAAAGTGTCTACCTCTTCCCATGCATGGCTTTGAGCAACATAGAATTGACTGTTTAGTACTGCTTTTGAAAAGTTTGATTTCATCCTGAGGATGGTTTTTGGTTATTTTATAAAATATAAACATCCTGAATGAATTCCAGGCTTTGTTACATAACCTGTGAGTATATTTATGTGTAATACTGTGAGGGGTAGTGTAATTTTTTAGTTCCATTTTAATGTGGTTTTTTGTCTGTGCCATTTCTTCCTTAAGTAGTTTCTATTCCAGGGTGAGAGACATTAACAGACTTCTTAACAGAAGTTAAGAAACTTCTGAGAATATAACAGTGACTTGTGTTTCTTTTGAAAACATACTTTTTGTGCTTACTTCACACCAGTAGCATGAGGTAATAAGCAACTGTTCATGTAAGCTGAAATGTTCATCTTCTTGGGGATGTCAGTGTATTTTGTTTCCTCAGCTATATGTACAAAATACCTTTTGCATTATCCTGTAATACAGGTGCTCAAATCAGTTTATAGCTGAACATAGTAATTTTCTTTGAAAATGTTGGAATATATTCAGTCAGTTGCATTTGATATTTGCTTTTGTCCATTTCAAAATACAGTGTGAAGGAGACTCATGGAAAGCCATAATGCTGTAGACTGAAGGTCTTCTTAACTCTGGTCTTGGAGTCAAAGTAGCCTAAAAGGGGCTTATGTCCCTAAAGAATGGAACATAACTTACGTGCTACAAATCTTTACATTTTCATTTTAGGGAGATTGCATGTTTGGTGTCACCAGCTTGAAGACAATAAATCTTTCTCATGCATTGTTACAGATCCAGTACTGGAATTTCCTGTGAATAAAAAACTAAAAAAACATTTTACATCTTTTTAGAAAAGAAAAAATTGAGCCTGTCTTTCACACCTCAATATTTACTTTGAGACTTTGTGCTTTAAATTAGCTTTTATTGTTTGTTTGGTGACTTTTAAAAATAATAGCATCAAATTTCAAAGCAATGTCACTGTCAGGCTTTCAACTCTACTGAGTTTTTTACCTGTTTAATCAAATAAAAGATTTTGGGGTGATAGAGCAGAAGAACTGGTTGAGCATTACTAGTCTAGCAGAACTGTTGTAACATGCTTCTTAAATCTTGCAAAGATAAAATGACCATAAAAGTAGTTATAGAAGAAGGGTTGGTTTGTGACTAAATGCTTCTTAGTGAGTGGAGTCTGCAGGTGGTGTGAAGAAGTCATGGTTTGAAATGCAGTCTGAATAAGTCAGGTGAGAATCAAGAGAAACTTTCCCAGTGGAATTTCCCTGCCCAGTGCTGTGGCAAGTGTTCATCTGTAATCCGAAGGCAGCCAGTGACTGGGAGCTGAGTGTGTCTGCAAGGTGGCTTTATCCTCATTTTATGTTTTCTCTGGATGCATAATCCCAGCTGAATTGTGTGGAAGTTCTTTGGGCCTTTGCTCTGAGTCAGGGTGGTGTGTCTGGAGTGGCTGTGGTTCTCAGGAATTTCAACAACCACTTAGAGAATCTTTTGTCTTTTTATTTCTGCAGCTTACAAAGGTGACCAGTAAAGTTCTCTCTGAGCAGCCAAAAAGCAGACAGCTCATGACTTCTGATCAGGACACTAAAGTTGTGGCTGAACCGCAGGTGCAGCAAGTACAAGAAGTTAAGGACGGTTCTCATCTAGTAAGTATTCTAATTGCATGTTCCCCTGGTGTGCTGTAGGAAACATTGTGTTTTCATTATGTCTTAATCAAAATTGTAGGTCAGAACATTTTAGAAGACAGTTGGCTGACAGAAAGCATTGAAACATTAAGCAGCCAGAACAGAGCTGTTGGAGTTGGTTAATTCTCCATACTGACTAGGAACTCAACTTAGCTTGGCTTCAGCCCTTTGGGGGGGGATTTACATAAACTGCAAGATAGGACAGGTTGCAATCATTTAGGGTACAGGGGGTTTTAGGCTATGCAGGAATTGTATCACTAATCTTGAATTAGGTTCTTGGTCACACTTTGCCATGTGGGGACAATGCAGGGAATGCACTTTGTGTGTACGTGTAATTGAAAAAATTGAAAAAAGCAAGCCATAGAAGATTGAAAAAATTGAAAAAAGCAAGCCATAGAAGCAGGAGTTGGCAGCCTGTAACAGGAATTTTGCTCAGTCAGTTGTGCCACGTGCTGCTGTTGCTGTGCTGCTGTGCAGGATCCAGTCAGTGGCTGTATGGGATGCTTGTGCATACATGTTGTAGTAAATGCTGCATATGTCTTCAAGAAGACTGAAGACTTGATTGTTATTCAAATATGTTCAAATTTTTGCTTTTGTTAACTGTATGTTGGGAGGAATGTTTCCTCTTGGGACATCTTAAAGGGTTTGGTTTCATTGTATGTTCTGCCAGGAGTTTCACTTGTGCCATGCTAAGGAGCAGATACTTCCTGCTTCCAGCTTAGCTTGGAGCAAGCACTAGGGAGCGTTCTGAAAAACTCATGCTTTGCTTTTCTCTGAAAGCTGGTGCACTTTTTGTTTGTTCCTCTTCCCCCTTTTTTTTCCTGAGTTCTCTGTTTTACATTTCTTAGATGTGAATTTTTACTTATTTGACAGTAGAGGAAAAAGTTCAACCTGGTTTTCTGCCATACTTCCGGAAGTTGAACTTTTGAGGTGTGCTGGGGTTTTTTGGGGGGTTTCTTGGTGTTTGTTTGTTTGTTTTTCTGTACCCAGAGTATTAGTGCCAATAAACTTGAGTAAGAGTGGCTTGCAGATTTTCTTCAAGGGCTTGAAGCTGTTGGAGCATTAGCATTAAAGGCAATTTATTAGTCTTCATATGGGTGCCAGTTCTTTTAATTTGGCATACTAGAATTTTTATTTTTAAAAAACATTGTATTAAAATCTTAATTCCTGTTCTTCCCTACTTATTTGGTGAAAAAGAGCATAACCACTTATTTATATTTCAGGAGACCTTACTGTTCTTTTCACGAGAAGAGAAAGCTGATGTCAGTTTAGGTGTCTTGGAACGTACCCATAATGCTGTAATGGTACATTTCAGATAACTTGTTCTAGTGTGATTAAAGCTTTTCTTTGGCTGAATATTTTATCTGAAAAAGATGAGACCTCTAGCTTATTAGGCTTTAAGTTATACTAATATGATACTCTTATGCGTACAACATCAGAAGGTCATTCTGGTATGAGCATAATTACCAATATATTCTGTTAACAGTGGTGCTTTCAAAATGGTCCCTTCTGTAATGCCATGCTTACATGAGTTGATTTTTGTCAGTGCTTCAGGACTTCACTTGCAAGTTCTGTGAACAAGATTATAATTGGAGAAAAACTTAACAGAGTGCAGGAAAGAGTTAGCAAGCTAAGATCATTAAAACACTTCCATCTTTCCATAAATGTGATAGGAAGGAGAAAAAACTTCTGGAGTCCTGGCTCTATTGCCTTTAGCAAGTACGTACTTCAGGTCAGGCGAAAAGACCTGCTGTTTCTTGTGTTTTAATTATTTTGAGATCAGAGTGCTAGACTGCAAAAAAATGTAGGTACACGTTTGTGCTGATCATTATTTCAGTGTGCATTTGATATGGGGCCATACTGCCCTGGCACCTAGTGAGCTTTGTGGGAGTCTGTTTTTAATGGACTTGTAAGAGATGCGCTGAATTGTGTTCCCAGCTGTTTTGGCTGTGCTGTTCCACTGGGATATCTTGATATACCTTGTCCAAATGCTTTTGTTCAGGAAGAAAGTTAATTCAATGGGAAATCTTGATACACTTCTGTAGATCCTGCAAAAATAGGTATTAGGCTAGTTCTTCATCAGAAGTAGTTATATATAACAAGTATTTTTTTGTTTTCTCTGAACAATAACTAAATTTTTCTAATTATGAGCTTGGTCATTCTGTTATTTGGCAAGAACAGAATTGAAGACATTCTACTGTGAGTACTGTTGAATAGGTAATCAATAGTGACTAAATTAAAATGAAGATTTTGGTATTTTGAAGGAATCCTTCTGAAGTCACTTTTCAGGGTTGCTGGTTAAAGATACACAGGTCACTTTTCCACTAACATGTATCCAAGTCTTAACCTCAGAGTGAGTGAGACAATCTTTTCTTCTGCATTGAAGTAGCTGAGAAACTATGCTATTTAAAGCATAATCTAGGTCAATCACAAGTCTTGTATGATTCTAGCCTAGTTGGTTCATTTCCAACACAACCAATCAGTTTGGCTGATTCTCATGGTATTTAACAGCAGGATTTTGCACACAAGTTGTTTGAAGGAAATTGGCATTTTGAGGATCTTCACGGATTTCTTGTCAATAGTAGCTTAGACTTACACACTGGATGTCCATAGCTTAGAGGATACTAGCAGATTCTTAACTTTGATGGTTTTCTTAGCTTTGATAGTTAAATGTGCTGTTTTTTCAACTTCTTTAACCTAGAGGTGGGCTTTGTCACTTCAGGTGACATCTGCCAGTGGACTGTTTGTATCCTGATTTGACAATTACTCTTTCTCAGAGAGCGCTTGTTAGGCTGGACCCAGGAGAGTCAGCTTTTAAGAGGCAGATCACTCCATTTTAACTCACTTGTGTGCTTCCTTTTCAATAGTAACTCATTGCTGCTAGAAATTAGGTTACTCTGAGGGAAGAGGCCAAGGTGCAAATCCCATGGTGGAGGTAGTTTGTATGTCCTGTCTCTGCCAAATTAAGATTTAACTGACTTTTAGTGCTAAAAGCATGCACAAGTCTTTTTCCTTGCTTATTGAGCCTAAACTCTTCCTCTGCCATTCTAACATTTGAATGTGTGGCCTCTCAGAGCACTTTCCAAGGTCCAAAGAATTTTCTTTCCTTGATTAGTCAAATTGAAGACCTGATCTGGAAATTTGAAAATATCTTTAGAAGGGATTCCTGTCACTAAACAACAACAAGTTCTGCAAATGTGTGTTCCAGTGCAGGATATTAGAGTGGGGCCATTTAAACTTGCCATCTGATTGCAATATTAGCATCACCCATTCTTTCCCTAGCTGAATAATTACCAGGTGCTGCCATGGGTTTCTGTTAATGGGAATTCTAATCTGTGTGGTACACTGATGTTGGTCAATCCTTATAGATACTGTGAACAAAAGTTCAATCCTACTGTTGTTCAAAGCAGGGGGGAAATATCTAGAGCTTCCTGAAAGATGGCACTTAATTGTAATTTTAAGTATGTGAAAAAAATGTTTTTCTTAGGAAGGATATGAGAGGATGTCTGAGGCTTATTGCTGCTGGATTATGTTGTTCAAAAATCCTTTTGCAGCCCATTCAGGAATAAGCCTCAAAATGAAAAGAAACTGGGGAAATCAAGTTTAGTAGTTTAATACTAGACCATGTGCTCAGTGAAAATTCAGTATACCAGATAATCCTCAGATCATTGGACAAAACACAGTTTTACATGCAATATGTGCCAATTTAATGTTAAGAAGCAGTTTGTATAATGAGTAGGTGGTATTCAAGAGATCACGACTAGCTTTAAACAAGAAATGGGAGAATTTGACTTTAAACCGGACATGTACAGGATCAGCATCAAGAAGGATCAGTACTGGTTGGTGTTTGCTCTTTCTGTCATGGTATTCTAGATTTAGGCCATAAGAAAAGTGAATAAGGCCATAAGAATAGTTTTATACATGTAGATGACATCTAATGCTCATGTTTGATTATTTCAGAGTGTAGAATGTGTACTTAAACTCTTAGCAGTCCATTAACTATGATCTGTTGGAGGTAAGTCAGGCAGTTTGATCAGCTGTTTCAGAAGCTTACAGTGGTGTCACTGCAACATCTGCTGTGGGGCTGCTCCTCTGTGTTCCCTTCACTGGTCATGGGCTTGGCATCAGGTGTGGCCTGGGAGTGCAGCATAATCACTGTTTCTTCAGAACTTGTTACAGTTGCATGACTTTGTTATAGAGAAAGAATAAAGGAAATTAGATTTTGGTAGGTTGTAAGGATTGTTTTGGCTTGGGTTATTGTAACTTCGAATCTAGAATTTCTTAAAATTTAGGCCTATAAGGCTATATCTGGGATAAACCCTTACTCCTTGGCAAAGAATAAGTATGTTGAGAAATGAAAGAGGGTAAGTATACTCTAGTTAATGAGCATGTGGACTTCTTGCCTTCTGTGTAGGTGTGTACAGGACATAGGATGAAATACCTATTAAAAAAAGTAATTGTTCAGGTTATGAGAGTGCTGCTTCAGAGCACTTTTGTTTCATGCAGTCAGAAAACCTGTTTAGGCTTTGAGTAGATGAGCAATATACCAGAGCTAAAATATGCATGAATAAAGGGAAAAAACCCAAAACAAAATAACAAAATTTACTCCCCAGAGGAGCTGGGCTCTGAAGTAGCAGAGCATGAACTCTGTTAAGTGCTTTTCAAGTTGGTGGCAGTGTTAAGCTCAGCCAGAAGGTGCCTCGAGTGATGTAGCATAACAGGAGTGGCATTTTCTGCTTAAATTCATGTTGCCTTTTTTCTTTAAAGTTGTAATCCCACACTAAATAGTATTGAGAAATTTGACTTAATGAATGTGCACTGTAGCTGCTCTAAAATAGAAATTATCCCTGGAACCCTAAGATAAAAACAAAGAAACAAGTACAAAATGTGCTCTTACACATGAGAAGGGTATGGGAAAACTGGAATAAGTTTCTGCTTGCCTGAACTGCTTCACCCCTTTC